GGCTGAAGATCAGTCACTCCTTCCCCAACACTCTCCACAATCCTGATCCATTCCAATCAAATTCATCATCTAAATTAATTAAATGAATTAACAGAAACCCTTTAGAATTTTATACAAGAATTAAACATACCCTCCAGCCTCATGACCTAAAATTCGAGGAAACACAGGATTCTGACCCTGAAAAGCTCATAGAAACAACGATTCAGCCATGGATTTGGGCAAATGGATAGTATAGTTATAAAGCTAGTAGATTACCTTGGCTTCCCAGAAGTAAACGTCGGTGTGGCACAGGGAGGTGAAGAGGATCTTTATCCGGACTTCCCTTTTTTGGGGTGGCGCCACCTCCACTTCTTCAATCACCAGTGGCTTCCCAGCTTCCCAGGCCACCGCCGCTGAGTGAAATTTACAGCCATGATCAGCACGAATCTTTAGCCATCAAAAGAATGAATGAATGAAATGCTTACCTTTGCATCGAATCACTTGACCAACATTAGTCGACATTCTTGATCGCTGAAACAGAAATCTTTAAACAAATTTAGAATTGGTTTGTGTTTATGGTTGAGATTAGGATGAATCAGTGATCATCAAGAATTGGGTATTTATAGGATGGATTTAAGTTTGAATATTTGAGTTGGTAAACAAGAGGCTCCACCGAGGGAATAGAATTACAAATTACAGAAACCAGCCACCAGGTTTTGGTTTGCGTTGACATGTAAACCCATTGTTTAAACCAAAGCTGGAAACTGTTGATCGTCCACGAATAGGATTCCAATGTTCTTGAGAATTTAATTATAAAAGAAAATGGAGAGTAAACTACAAATTTGGTCCTCTGGTTTGTAAAAATATATAGATTTGGTCCCTCTTTTTAAGGTCATTAAAATATCTCCTTAAACAATGAAAATCTTTGTCATTTTGTTTGTCTTTTATAATTTTACGAATCAAAATCGATTTTTATGATCTTGGTTCCTGTGGTTTTTTATTCAAGAAAAAAACAAAATGTGACAAAAATGTCCCATTTATCGAAAGTTGTTAACAATCATTAACCATCCATTACAATGTATGTATGTATGCATGTATGTATGTGTGTGTATTCTGCAGGTGTAGAACCCACCCCCCCTCCCTCGACTATGACTGTCTTTATCCTAACTTCTCCGACCACCGTCTTCATCCTAACTCCTCCGACCACCTTTGTCCATTCCCCATCCCACTTTCGACTTCCCCCAATACGGTGCCCCCTACACCACCGTTTATGTGAAACCCATCCCATTCCAGCAGGAGAAATTGTTTCCACCAGTCCCAACATGACGAAATTACTGCAATAAAGTCTTCCAATCTCCACCGGAATTTTACCTTCAAGAAAGTTAGTCCCAATGTTAGTAGGACCAGAGGTTTATATACGATGTCGATCAACTTGGTAGATCCCCAAAAGAACACCCACTGAACAATTTGGAGACATATGCACACATCTTGGAATGAATTGATGATATTTGCAATCAATGATTAATCTCGAATCCCTCTCATAAAGAGATCTTCTTGGAAAGAACTGGTGATATTTGCAGAAAGAAGATTACCATGGCTCTAGGAAATGAAACAAATTGAGGTGTTTGGTAAGATCATGAAAAATAATGGAAGGGGATAGAGGGTGGGTAAGACAAGAGGCAGGATTAAAATGAGATTTTTGTATACGTGTGTTTATAGGTAGGACTGTAAATGAACCGAACGAACACGAACGGAGACTTGTTCATGTTCGTTCGTTTAACTTGACCGAACAAACAAACGGTAAACGAACAAAAATCTTTGTGTTCGTGTTCATTTATAAATTAGGTGTGTTCGTGTTCGTCTATGTTCGTTCATTAACATGCTAAACGAACAAGCTAAACGAACGGGGTAAACGAATATAAATAAGTATTATTTGAATTCAAGTAAATAAACAAAAGATTATATATTAAATTTAATATATAAACGAACGAATATAAACGAACGGTAAATGAACGAACGTTCATGAGCATAAATGAATGAACGAGACTCTTGTTCATGTTTGTTCATTTAACTAAAGGAACAAAAAAAAATTGTTCATGTCCGTTCATTTATTAAATAAACGAACATAAACGAACTTCAAGCCGAACGGTTCACGAACGGTTCGCTGAACGTTTGGTTCGTTTACAGCCCTATTTACAGGTATGTATATTGTGTTGGAATAGAAAGGTTGGGCCGGAGAAGATCACCCGAGTGGAGGGTTCAGTAGGATGGGGTGTTACCACAGAATAACTACAGAAAAGACCACCGGAGGTGTGAGTTGTTCACCAGTGATGGTCTATGTGTCCGTGTGGGTACATGTGTGTGTATGTAGATGACATAAAAATAGAGTAAATTACAATTTGATCCTTGTGATTTAACTAAATCATATAACTTCTCCTTCTAAAAGTAAAAAAGACGAAAATACCCCTAACTTAACGGAAAAAAAAATTAACAGAGTTAAGTCGAGGGACGACTTTCAACGCAAGATGTAAACAATAGAGATGTTAATTGTAGTATTTGAAGTCTAGAGACCACTTTCGATGATTTTTGTAAACCATAAGGACCAAAATTGTAGTTTAAAGTTAAATAATTATCATAAAGTAGAATAAATTAATTAGAAAAAATATTTAATTTTAATTTATAAAATGTTTTTGATTTGATAAATAAATGTTTATAATTATGCTTTAAAAAAAATAACGTTTCGTATAATTTTATTTTATTACATATTATCAAAAAAAAAAAAAACTCAAAAGATATATTAAATGTTAAAAAATTAAAATAAAATACAAAGTAAAAACAATACATTAATCTTCTTCTACTTCTTCTTCTTCTTATCTTTGTGAAATCTGATTATAAGCAATAACTCCTTGATCTACTACGTACTTGTATGTGTCATACTCAGAATGTGTACTATGAGAGATTAGAGGCATATTTATAGTAAAGTTAACACAATCATCTATATCATCAAATTGATGAATATAAACATAACGTTCATCTTCAACGATCATGTTGTGTAGCAGTTGGTTGAGCAGTCGCAACGGAAAGGTGACAGGTTCATCAGGGTCGAAATCAACAGGATTATACATGCTCTTATTATTTCCCTGGTTATCTCTTTGCTCCACATATCAGATGGCCCACAACAACGTCGTGAAACAAAAAAGAGATTATACGAACATCAACTTTAGTAACTTTTAAACAGACAATGATGTAATTTTATGTGTTAAGTTTGTATTTTTATTATTTAATATATTTTATTGATTTGGGTTTCTATGATTCTATGGAGCAACCATTGAGCTATTATGGAGTTCTATCGAGCATGCATCGTGTAACAATCGTGAACTTATAGCTTTCCAGTCATAACTCGGATTAAGATGATTTTTTTTTTATTTTCTTCTATATCATATTGTTGAAATTTGGGTTTCTAATGAGCAATCATTTGAGCTAGTATGGAATTTTGTCGAGCATATGCTTTGTAAGCATTATGTACCAATGGTGGTGTCATAACTTTTCACTTGTAATTTGGACCGAGATTATTTTTAATTTTATTTGTTTACTTTTTTGAGATCTACAGATCAATTGAGCAACCACTTTATTGTTATTAGGTTTTATCGAGTAATTATAATGTAATCATCTTGTCACCATCTTGAAGATCTTTGAAGGGACACTTACGTTTTATCGAGATTTTGTTTTTTTTCCTTTGTTTTCTTTTCTTCGTAAAATAAGACTTAAGAACTTAGTATAAAAATACTAAGAGGTTTATTTGTTATTAAAAATAAATAAATAAACACATCTGTTAAAAAAGTTCAATATTAAACGATGTTGTTTATTTTTCCATTTTTTTATTTCATTTTCTGTATTTGTTGTTGAATTTTGATGTTTTAAGAACAAAATTGCATGAAAATGCAATGTATTTTAACTGAATTTTGTTTTATGTAACATATTTTTAAAACTTTCATTTTAGTAACTTGGTTTACATGTGGGAATACATAAAAATACAACATATTTTGGTCTGATTTCAGTTTTATGTAACTTACTATAATTTAAATGTTTGAGATATTATATCTAAGGTATCAAAATGAATGTTTTGAAAGTATGGTACACAAAATAAATATCAGGAAAATAACATATTGTATTTTCATGCAATCTACGTCACAAGAAAATCGCATACACATCCCTTTTCCAGGCAAATATTAGATCTAAAGTTTCTTTTCCGCGAAAAAACCGATATCTTTTTTTTCCGTGATAGAGCAGACGGAACCTGTAACTTCCTAGGCAACCATATCACATATTGTCCATTTTGTCTATACATGAAACATCCGATAAAATTGGAACAATGTAGAGAAGATTAGCATGGCCCCTATGCAAGGATGACACATAAAAATTGAGAATCAGACTAGTATGCCAACAAGCACGTTGGCCTTCCAAATGGAATGAGTTGTGAGATCCCACATTGGTTGGGGAGAAAAAGAAGATTAAGTGATTAAATATCTTCTATATCAGATGCATTTTAAAACCGTGGGTTCGGCTATGGATAAAACAAACAAAATTCTATTACGATTACTTGGGATGCATTGCCCGTACTTTTTTTGAAGCACCTGTGGCCAATCACAAATACCATTTCCCCGCATCTCACGAGTAGTACGCTTTTCCATGCAAGGCTTCAGACTCAAAACCTCACTTACGGCTTTATCAAGGTTGTTTAGCTTACGCCTTACAGTATGAACCTGACAAGGGATGAGAATATTACCCGGTAAGTGAGGGTGACAATTCTTACATGTTAAGCACTTAACCAGATAAATTGTTTCCTACAACACCTTTTTGATGGACTATGATCTTATCAAGAGTATTCTCATTTTTACTGGTAAGCTCTTAACAGACAAGGGTTTGGGTAAACAACTCCACAATTCCAACAAAAGGCTCATTTGAGGACCATCACATTTTGGACATCCCCTATCACAAGGGTAAAGAGTGGGTCACCTTGTCTCTAACACGAATGCCACCACTTCATGGTTTTATCATCACGGAAAAAAAATTACATTTCTAATTGGTAACACAATATCGTTTTGTTGTATGCTCTTCTTATATTGTCACTAATCTGTCTTCCTTTAATACCATAACCAAAACATTTGTACAAGTAGATTGCAGGCCCATAAGAGATTTTATTACAGAAACATTCCTACATCAAAATCATTTCAATTTAAACATCAAGAAAGCAAAGTAGGCTTCAAGAATTACAACACTTCAAAAGAATATCTATGCATCCATGCGAATGATGCAGCGAAGACCTTCGCCTTTAAGCATTAAATCGAAGGCCTTGTTGATCTCAGAAAATGGCACTTCATGTGTTATGAACTTCTCCACCTCAAGTTCCTGCAACAAACTTTTCATCATTCTTCCCTTTTTACCCTTTTCCTAATTAATTACTTAATGCCTAGATATATCGGTTACCTTGTTCATGTACTTTTCRACCACAGATGGAAGGTCTGATCGCGGTTTGTAGTTTCCA